GGAATAAACAGAAAACTCCCACATCTATGAACCCCATTTTTTAAAATCACAGCCTTGTTCCATCATTTTTAAACAAGGTAGGCTGGAAGTATAAAACTCAATGTTATCAGACAAAAAAAAAAAGGGTTTTTTTATTTATTTTTTGCCTTTTCACTGAAAAAAAATTCATGTTAAATTATTCCTCTGCACCTGCCTAATGGGGCTGAAGTAATTCGATTGTCATATTGTTGTAGATTGTTGCTTTGTGTAATGTATCACCCCTGCTGTTCCATTAAAAAAATTCTATACTCTTCCATTATTCAGCAAGGCCTAATGATTATTCCAGCATTTGTACATGCTGCACTGTTATTTTGATTTTAATTGACTTCACTTTTTTAATTAAGTACATTGGTTTTAACACTGTTGTTGACAAGCTTGGTTTTGTCATTATCAGTATTTGCTTCTTTGTGTGTTCCATACCTATTGACATTTTATTTAGATTCATGTAAGTGATAAGAGTAATATACGCACTGAAGTTTGTCTTCAACTCTAACATGAATTCATGCCACATAGTTTTATAATGGTCTGAGGAGTACTTTAAAGGACCAATTATTTTAAAGGCATCTTTTAAAACTAAATTATTAAGTCTGGTTTGAAAATTAAAAACAAAGATTCAACTATTTTTTAGTTATGTAATAAACATATATGGCTATATAATGTCTCTTCAATGCGTTATAAAATTATGGTTTGTATATATTTAAAAATAATTTTTATTGAGATATTTTATTTTAGAGGATAACTGATTTATTTCTTTAACGTATTTAAAGATCTTTACAGGATTTACTACAAATCCAAATATTTATATGAAAGAATGTAACAAAAACCTTGTGAAGCCCACTGAAATGTCTCTTTTTGAGGGATACGGTCTCAGTAATTTATCCCAACATAAGATAATGAAGAAAGGGCCATAGAATCGAGCTTTAGAAATCATGCTAGAAATTGTTGAACTGCTGGAGAGAGAAAAAGTAATAGTAAATTTTTTAGTGAGAAAATGTTCTTAAAAACTATAAAAACGTTTCATTTTTCACACTTCTCTGAACACAAATCTAACATAAGTATGGCTCTTCAAGCAGCACTGATACACCCTTTTGTGAAGAAGGCTGACGTGAGAAATCTTATTTCCCCTTTAGCTTTTGTATTTTGGTAATGGACATGAATGAATGAATGAATGGCGAGGTGAATGAATAGCACACATGGGATCTGACTGCCATTTGGTCATCTGAGAGACAGAGGACAAAGACTTAGAAGTGAGCCCTTCTGCCCTTGATTGGTGCAGCTTCATCACGGCAGTTGTGTTTGTTGATGAGCCTGCAGCCTCTCCTTATGCCTTGGTGTGCCTGACCCAACTCTATTAACATAACTTCCAGTCCTAGTGACAGCATGAATAAAAGATGACTGGTGTGACCTCAGGAAGTGCCAAGATAGTATTGATGTAATGAGCCCAATATCCACTGTTTTATGCATTGCCATACAATAGCAATCTTAATAAAAGGTTAAACAGCATTATAATGTGTTTCCTTGATGTCTCTCTGACTTCCCTTTTTCATTCATTGTCACTTCTTTGGGGATGATCAACAATCAAAGTTTCTGTTTGTTTTGTTTTTGACATGTTGTCAGTCCTTAATTTTGCTGAGCTTAAAACAGGAAAACAAAAACATTGCTTTTAAAGTTTTCTCCACATCAGAAAATAATTTTTCATTTTCATGGTATTGATTTCTGTTTGGCAGCAGCTATCACTGTTTATAAGTCAGTTATTACTTTATACTACTAAACACCTCATTTTAATATTTAGATCTGTCTCTACCAGTTTACTTTCTTAGATTTGCACATTTTTCCCCATTGTGAAAATATTAAATATGATCTTATTACTGGAAGCCCATTGGTATTGCATTTTTCTCCCTTTCAACTTGTCTTATTTTAAAAACCTATTATATATGAAATTCTCAGATGCAGATTCTCTGATTATCTTGCTCCAAAATGCTCAAAGAAAAGACCTCAAATGCATGTAGGCAACTATCAAAGAATCCTCTATTTTGGGAGCTTTCTGACCAAAAGAACACTGCTCTGTTAAAGTTTTCATCACCTTTCTTTGTAAATAGGAAGTGTAATAAGCAAGAAGGAAAAGGAAGATAAGAATATAGCAAACACATATCTAAAATACATCACACCCTGCCAAGAGCATCTGTTACTATATTTTTCTTTAAAATCAAAAGAACAACTGGACTAATAATCACTCTTTTAATAACAAAGAAGAATGCTGTATTTTTATACTTCTTTTAGATACCAACAGCATTCTTATAATAATATTCTTTGTTTTTTTGTAAGGTGTTTCACATAGGTGATCTAGAAATATGACATGTTAACCCTGCATTTATGGATTTATACATCTTGGAGGTAGATTAAAGAAATCACTTAACAATGATGGCTAAAACATACCACGACCCCAAACTTCAGATTTGCTGCATGAAACATCTGTTGTGTCATTTTGAATTTGAAAAGGGGCACAAATTTTTAAATATCTATAAATGTTGCTTTGGTCAAATCATGTCTTGTTGGGGCATTGTATATCTAATAAAACCAAAAGTAATTTGATGTGAACTGATGTCACAATATGCTAGTAGGCACTACTGTCAAGAGATGTGAAAGGGTAGTTTATGTGTATCAAGATGCAGAATTAATTAGAGCACATTTACTGAGGCTTTGTCTTAGGAAAAAATAGTCCACCCTCATTTCTACAGCCTAGTAGGGTACTTTAATAATGAGAGGATAATGTAGCATTATATGTAGTAAAGACTGAGACTGATTTATATTTTAAGAAAATTCTAACAATTTTGCTTGATTTGTCTCCTTTTGTTCTAATAGTGGCTCCTCCTTCTAATGATAGTTGATGAAATTTACTACATAGTGAAAGGCTGTAGAAAAATGGAGAGCCTCGTAAGCACAATAAAGGTGGCCTTGGCTGTTGAAGAAAGTGGAGACCAGGCAGATTCTACAGTGAATACTGTGATGCGGTATATTATACCGTTTTGAGAGAGGTACATGATGAGGACTGAAGGGATATAAATGCAGTCCTACAATACTCAACCTTGAGATTGCCAAGAAAAAAAAGTCACTGGTTATTCAAAAAATTGAGGCAGATGTCAGATACAAGCAGCTGTGGCCTGAGAAATTCAACAGAATTCCAATATTCAAACTGCTTTTCTGGATATAAACTGCTTGATAGCACAGTGTCAGATCTGATCTAGGCTCCCAGTGAACCATCTACCTGACAGGAAAGTAAAACACTGACCCTGTCTATGCCGGTAGGCATCGGTATCCTTTGGTTGGAGAAAGCACTCTGCTGAGATGTTTTCCAGCCAACTTGTTAGGAAAATATTATAGTTATTAGCCCAGTCATAAGAATGCTAAACATGAGAATAAAAAAAAGTTAAATATGTGCTGGCCTTTTTGTTTCAGGACTATTTGAAAGGAGAACAAACCTTCATCCTAACTTTAAGTACCTAATACATAATGGGATATTCTTTGTAGAAATTGAGATCAGGTGAAACTATTGGGAAAATTGCATTTGCAACATTTTCAAGAAAGAGTATGACCTATCTATGATGACCTCGTGAATATAATAAAAATATGCTATAAGTTACCAAGCAAATTATTAGATAAACTGCGAGCTTCAAAAAGTCAGCATCACAAATGCAGAAATAATTCTCTGGAGAATTAGAGAACACGCTTTTTATTTTATTCAGTATTATGTTGGATAAAATAAACATATGTAGATGCTGAAAGGTTACTCACAAATAGGTCAGCTTGAGGCGGAAGTCTTTCATAATTTAAGATATATCAGCCTTGGCAGTAACTGAGAATAAGAGCAAGTAATCAAAAGTGACCCAACCCATGACACCAGAGTTTCCAGATGGCATAGAAGAACGTCCATAATTTATGATCGCTGATGCAGTAAATAAATCTAAAACAATAGGCGTGGATGGGAAAGCAGTCACAGCTGACCAAAAGAGCAGTTGTAATGCAACCCACAGAAAGCTTCATGCCAGAAGTAATTGACATAGTAGTCAAATCAATTTCCTAGGGTGCAGACATTCAAGCACTCAATCTGATTCTGTATGCTGTGCAACGTTTGGATTATACAGCTGCCTCTAATTCAGATAGCCTTAGCTCAATGTGAATCCAACTCAAGGAACTGTCTAGAAGTGAACAGTAATTATGTGGCCTTTCTTTCTGTAGGTTTACTGTTTTATGGTCAAGTTACTCTCTTTTGGAATTTATACATTGCATATTAACTGTTTAAAATTTAACTAATATAGTTTTCTCTTTATGAGTCAACTAACTTAATGATATGAATGAAATCCATGATTTTTCTTCCCAGGGCTCCGGTGGAATACTGTGTCAGGGCAAGAAAAGACCATGCACAGCATGGTGTTCCTTGACAATGGAAAGAAAGTAACTATGGCATCAGCCATTGATTGCAAATGTGTCATACCCAAGCAGAAGAGGATTAATGAAATAATTAATGCTTTTGCATAGCTCAGTTCAATGTACTTATTTGAAGATAAGATTAAATTATCTTTTGGTGCAGACACTTTCCGTGGTAGTGGTTTTCATTCACTCATCCAGTGTGAGCAGTGTCTGCAGCACAATAGATACTTGATCAGACACAGAGGTGTGGAGATAAGATACAAAGGCTCAGCCCTCAAAGGACTCCTACCTTAAGGGCCTGATGAGAAGGGTAAAAACTCATGTGAGAACTACAGAGAAAGTTCAAAGAGCAGCAACATGGCCTAATCCAGCCATGGTTAGGGTAGGATTTAGAGAACATTGCAGGAAGGATTTTTGAGATGCCGACAGTGTCATTGAGATTTTAAGAATGACAAAATGTTTTCGATGCTGAAAGAGAATTGATCATTGGAAAGACATGGTATTTTCAGACAGTCATCTTATCTTTCTTGCAGTTGAGGCATAGGATTTGTCAGCAGAGACAATGGAAAAATTTGAGAAGAGAAAACAGCCCATATGCCCATCAGTTGGAGATTGGATAAAGAAGATGTGGTTTTTCTATAAAGTGGAATACTACTCAGCCATAAAGAACGAGAAATTAGATTCATTCATAGGAAAATGGATACATATTGAAGACATACTCCTAAATGAAGTAAATAAGTCACACATGTGTGAATACCAAATAGTTTCTCTGGTGTGAATAACTGTAATAGTACATAAGATCTTAATGAGATAACTGACTGTGAAATGGGAAGAAAAGGGCTAAAAGTATAAGGAAAGTAGGAAGGGTAGGGGAAAGCTAATGAAGGAAAAGAAAAAAATATGAAAAAATAGAAATAAAGTGTGTGTAAATGGGGAGGGGAGGACAGAGTGAAGGGAGGGCAGGGACAAGGGGAAAATGAGAACCAAGACCTGTCATGTAAAGGTACAAGATCCCAATAATGAATGTAACTGTACTGTATACTTAAAAAGTACCAATAAACTCAGTAAAAGAAAAAAAAGTAAGTTTGGATCCAATGGTAAAAAACACAAGGTGAAAAATAATATAGAGAGTACAGAACACTGACATTCGCTACTTTTAATTTGACATTTACAGCAGCCTATGGGATCATGATTGTCTCTGTTTTAAAATGAGCAAGATTTATGAGAGATTTTTTTCATTTACCCAAAATCACAAAGTTGGGATTTAAACCAAGTTCTGCCCCGTTTAAAGGCCACAGTCTAGAGACAGCCTTGCTTGACTTCTCAGTAAAGGTGTTCTAATGGTACCATGTTTGGCCATATACGAAAAATTTCAAACTTTCAGAAAAATAAAAGATAGGGTGATGTTTCTGACCCAATCATCAAAGAAAGAGAAGGTGAAGCATAAGTGGCATAGAAAATGAAAGAAAAGAAGAAAGAGTAAAATAACATATATTAACTTCGAAATACTATAACGGTGGAGCAAGTTGGCTAGAACATTGTGGTGAATGTGAGAAAAGGAAATTCCATGGGTACTGAGAGTCCACAGAATATCTATTTCTGTAAGAGATCTTTGTGAAAATAGATCGGAAGATGAAAAATAACATCATTAATGAGCTATTTATTTGATATTAATTTAACATACTACCTTTAGCAATAAGGGAGGTTGAAGAGTCAGGAAAAAGACATAGCAAGTTGACTGTGGATACAAACTGCTAGAACCACCACAGCAAGCACAGAGATGGAAACAATGAATCAAGATGTCCCTAAAGACGATAGTGGTGAGGTAAAAGGAACAAGGACAAATGTGGGCATCCAGAAAGAATTCTGAAAAGGAAATGAAGGTGAATACAGAGGAAATAGCATATCTCACAAAAGTTAAAAGATAAAAATAGAGAGGAGTAAGCAGATAAATTGAGAAGAAATTTAAAGGGAAAAAAAGCAATTAAAGAATTAAATTTGGACTTCAAAAATAAAATATATATTGTAATGTTTGTAAAATTATACTTAAAGTTGTAAGAAAATTAATGAAAAAGAATAACCAAAAAAGAAAAATGCATCTATTTCACTAAATGTTTATATTTTGATATATTTCCTTCTAATCATTTTTCTCTATACATTTTTACACAATTGCAATCATAATATGTGGAATTCTAGACATTTTTTGAATATTTTCAATGATATATAATCACCATTTACAAATATTTCCTTTCAAGCATAACTTACCAGTATTGAAAAATAGCTGTTATTTATCTTTGAAAATAAACATGTAATTAATGGATAATTTCTAAATGTAATTATATTTGCCTAAATTATATTTTAATGTCAGGTTTTTATGGCTGCAGAGAAACAAAGTTAACCCTCAAAATTAAAAAAAATCAAAAATTTAAACAAATGATGATTGAATTATGAACTGTGTATATAAATGTTTTCTATTTTGTCCAGTAATTCAAAGAAGGAAGGAAATCTGTTTTTGCTGCTCTCCTTTAATTTTCTGAAAACAACATAGAACCATTCTGGAACCCATGGTCACGTCATTCACAGAAATGAGTTATATTTGTCATCAAGCCATATAGCAGAAGAAAACAACGTTCTAGGGAGAATGCATGGACTTCACTTTGTTAATATAGAAACACACAAGTCAGACAGTGCTGCTTTGCATCTGAGATCACGAAAGCTCTCTGGCATATCTCAGTAACTATCAGAGTCTGATACAGGGACACCATAGTTGAACAGGAATTTGTAACTCTATTGTTTATGCACTCAAGTCAGTTTTGTCAATTTCTGATTTATTTATTAATTTATTTTTGGTTTTTTGAGACACAGTCTGAAAAAATGTAGTTGAGACTGACCTGGAATTCATGATGTAGCCCAGGCTGGTCTCGAACTCACAGCGATCCTCCTGCCTCAGTCTCCTGAGTGCTGGGATTATAGGCATGCACCATGAAGCCTGACTTAATTTATGTTTATCACAATTAAAATAAAACATTGTTAAATCTAACTAAATATTATCTTTCACTCTCTATATCACTTAAATCATTATTTCAAATAAAATTTTAATGCAAAATGTCACATATTTCTTAATGCAGCATAAATAAAGTAATTTATCAAAGGAGAGAATTGACAACACCGGCACTTTTTACAAGTGAAGTAGAAATTATTTCCTGAAATTTCCAAGGGTCACAACTTGGTGAAATAATAATCCTTTCAGTTTCTGTTTGAAACACACCATGAAGAATAGAGTTAAATTATGACAGTAATATATTTGGGGAAATAATTAGTAGAAAAGAAATATGAAATTACTTGCCTATTTGAATTATTAGATTCTAGGTTTCAGATCAAGAGATTCATTTTTCTAAATTTATCTGGTTCTCAGTAGAATTTCATTGACAAGTGACTCATGATGATCATTATACACACGTGTAAATACTGAATAGTCTCTCTGGTGTGAAAAACTGAAAATTTAAACAAGGATCAAAATGTATAATGGATAATTTGAAATAGGAAGAAAAGGCCCAAAGGGGAAGCAGAATTAGGAGAAGGGAAAGGGAAGAAGGAATAAATATGAGAAGAGGAATAAATGGAAACAAAGTCTTTGTAAATAGGGAAAGGTGGAGGGATTGAAGGGAGGGCAGGGGAATGGGGAAAAAATAAGAACCAAAATATATAATGTAAAGGTACAAATTTCCAATGATGAATGTCATCATATTGTATACCTAAAATGTACTAATAAACTTAATGAATAAAAATAAATTAAATAAATAAATAAAACAAAATTGTTCCTGTTTTTTACCAGCCTTTAAAAGAAGTGAACAAAATAAACAGGCCTCTTCCTTATGGGGGCTTTTATACAAGTACACACATATATATATACACATACATATAATATATGTACACACATGCATATAAATATATGAATACATATATATGCATATATATTTGTCATATATATATAATATGTCAAAAAACACCCCAAATAATAAAATTTGTCTCATGTCCTAAGAAAATATGTGAGTCACTGAATACTTAAAAAGTACCATTAAATTCAATGAGGAAAAAAAGGAAGCATATGAGTGACAAAGTATACAAACACATACACACATACATTTATAATAATTTGGCTGGGTTGCTTATAAAAGTGTGAGGACTGCTGATATTCAAAATTTTATGTGAGAAAAAATGCATAATAGATAAAATCCTTACACCTAATAATAGTCTGACCCTTGAAATTACACATGTAATTGTCCTAATTGTATTTTTGATATTTTAAAACACTGGCATATCTTTGAAGACGGGGTTTCTTTTTGACTTACAATGTTCTCTACAATATTTTGTAATTTTCCTTTGCTCTCTTTCTCAATTTCAATATAATTATTCAACCAAAGAGCACACTTTGAAAATAATACATTACCATAAAAAGATGTTTAAAATATCATGGTGTTAATTTTGATTCATATTGCTTATTTCACTCAAGTGAATTACTTAAATTCTAAAGTCATTAGAGTAATGTAACATCTTTAATGTAAATAAGTAAAACTTAATAATTAACCTCAGAATTTTTCAGCACTGATATGTAACCAAAATGAATAGGTGTTAATGATAAAAATATTCTAATGGTCAAAATGCATGAAGGTTTTTCATTTCCTTAAATCAAGAAAGGTATCAATTATAGGTATTTTTAAAATTTTTCAAAAAGGGAAACTTCTAAATAACTTTTATGATTGATGGTCATGATAGTGCTTCTTTCAAAAGTCACACTGTGAATGTGACAGCACTCTAGAATGCATGAAAATGTCAAGCTAACTTCCTAGGTGTAGAGAGGATAAGATTTCCTATGATCTGGAAACTTCCATGCAGAATTTCTTGAGCAGGGAACTTATGTAAGTACAATTCTTCATTTTCTAAATTAAAGCAGTTTACTTGCGTGTTCCTAGTATTCTAAATTTGTTCCTCTTCCCCTTCACCTTTTTTCATTCCCATTCTCTTGTGTACTTCGCTGTTTTCACATTGTTTTGAGAGCATTTTCTGTGTCGTTTATTTGTTCCCTGTGGGTCTTTATCGACAGCATTTCCTAGACCCAAGTAGGCTTTTACAGGGTGTATTCTGCTGGGCCTCCAGCAACACCATTTGTAAAGAACTCAATTGGGTTATGATTGGTTCCTTCATGAGTAGATATAGAAGAGCTCCCTGAAGGTCTCCTATCAAGGACCCAGAGGGCTGGATAGGAAGAAAAATTTTGATTCTTAGATAGGATTTCAACAGCCCCAATAGGTAGCACATTATGACAAGATGGGCCATATGAATTACACATTCTTAAAAAAAAAGGTTTTCTCTTTTAATGTGATGGTCAGAAAAAAACAAATATTATGTAGAATGCAAATATGTGGGGCCAGAAAACTAAAATGAAATGAAAATCCCAGTCCAAAAAGAAAATCCCAGTGTCGTTTACGACTGACTGGAGGAGCCACATGTCAGGCTATACTTGAAGAACTTGTTTCTCTAAAGAACAATGTCAAATGTTATCTTGTGGTGAGTCTCATAAGAGGAAGCATATAAAAATGC